CAAAAAGAGATCAAAAGTGAAAAGTCTTGCGCTTCATCGGAAGCGCTCGAGTTGTTTTCAAGCTCTTTCTCGCACCTTAAGGAAGTTAGCCAGCTCGTTCTCCATCAGCTGCCTGAGCTCCCGCCGGCTCAGAGTCCCTGCTTGGCCGTCCTTAGAGGCGTAACGGTGGAACACCACGATGAGCAGCTCCATTGCTGTCTCCAGATCAGAAGGCATGGCTGCTGCGAATGTGTGGCGACGACTGCAAGTTGAAGACAGCACAGAGGAAAAACAGTCATACTCAAATGAAACTTCAAGGAGGAGCAGAACGAACTCCTTCAAGATCAGAGCTGCGTTTTTAATTCGGTGAAGAGAATGAAAAGTACCGCTTTCGATCGATTAAAAAAGTTTCATCAATTAAATTCACAGTGCTGCAGTGTGATTAACTTTGTGTGCTTAAAATGTAAAAATTGCATGTTTTCAATAAATATTTAAGAAAATGTTTTATTGTCTCATCACAGTTTTCCAGGTTTTCATATTCTAGAAGGTTTAAAAGAAGCCATTTTGTCTCAAATCTAATTTTGAAATTATAAACTGATTGAGCTTTGGTGGAAGGACAATTCACCGTCACAATAAGTCAGCTACATGCTACCTTAGTTTTATCCAAACATATGTTTGTGTTTTTCCAAAGCAAAATTTGACAGTAACTTTCCTTGGTCATCTTTTTTGGTTTTGCAATTCTGGTCTTGTGCTGCATGTTGCACTGCAAGACCTCATAATGCAGAGCTTTGAATTTAGTGACCCTCCAGTGGAGAGAGGCTTTTGGATCACAATAGTTAAAGCATTATGTAATGTCAGCGTGTTAAACTTTTCACATTAATGCGTTAACATTGACAGAACAACCAGAAAGTAACTACATATTTTTAAATCTTTATCAAAATGCTTAACCTAAATTAATTATAGGTAACTCCCTCTTTGCTTTTTCTCACCACCCTTTAAACAAATGAGTAAAGTTCACAAGCAGTTATTATGCAGGGTATGTTATTAAGTTGTTAGTCAGCAAGATAGGAGCCATTGCCTCATGTTGACAGACAAAAACTTGAAACTCAATCCTCCTGATTATGCTTTGTTGTAGCAACAGCTTGAGAAAAATGGAGAAGTAGGAAAAACTGAGACTGTGTCATTGATGTGGGAGCCTGAGTGGAAAAGTTGAAGTAGATGACCCGTAGTGGTAGAATTCAAGTAATAAGAGAGGACAGTGTCCACAGCCACAACCACACCCCTATTTTACCCTACAATGCACTTCAACAGGCAACAAAAGCACACAATATGGGTTTAATTTATAGACGTAAAGTTCTAAAAGTTGTGTCAAAAAGTTGTTAAAAGTTATCGAGCATTTCTATAAGTTGTATTATTTTAGATTTATCTCTGAAAGACATACATATATTAATAATTCAGCATTATTAGCCCTCTAACAGTCACTGCAGGGGCCCCGCCTGTGTGAGAGCAGCAGCCTGTTAAAGGGTTAGCTTAGCTCTTACCGTGGAAAACGTGAGGAGTCTCTGGCAGAGGAGAGGGCAGAAAATGTGCAGGAGACTGAGAGAAAAGCAGCAGAGGCTTTTATATGCAGACACCGCCCCGGCTCTGTGAGTCAGGCTCTTCTGTCCACTGTAACCACAACAGACTGCAAGGGGGAGGGAACCATAAGGTTTGTAGAGAAGGAGTAGCCCAAAGATCCTTTAATCACAGTACAGTCAGAAAGTCTGGGTTCCTCTGACTGATACTTCATTCATCCTGGAATTTATTACTACATTATTTCCTTATGTCTAATCTAGCACAATGTCTGATTATCAGTAATTCCTTATATCATCATTTCTTACTCGTTTTGATCATTTTGACCATGCCATTGTGCTTCTGTCTCGTGATTAAATCTCTATCCTTCTGTTTCTGACCTCACCTGTCTGTGCTCTACAAATATAGTTTGATCAGTGTCAGTCAACTCTTTAGTTTTCAGGATTTTGATTTATAAACATTTGTTTGCTACTCACAAACAAATGTGAGTAGCAAAAGCAGTTTGAAGTTTATGATGAAGGAATCGAATGTTTAACAAACAAATTCAACTGGTTAAAGACTGAGACGTTATTGGTCTTTCTGGACTCCAAGAAAAGGGGTTTGAGTCTTTTCTTATCTTGTTGGGGTATTTAGAGAACCGTATCAGAAGCGAGTAAAGTAACATTCTGCAATTTCTGCAAAACCTAGACAATTTAAATCACCCACAAGTGATTTTATCTGCGTAAAGGTTTTCTTATGTTCCCTTTTCTTTTGCAGCTAATGTAAATCCACCATATTTTTTCTTCTGATTTGAAAAAATAAAAATAAAATTATTACACTTGTATGCAATTATTGATATATTCTAGATTGCTGTCAGAACATCCCAAATATGTTCTGGTAGACTGAAGACTGTGAAGATCACTGTTAGGTTCAGGAAACAGTTCGAGTTGACCAGTGGTGGTTTCCAATTTGTGCAAAAACTTGACAGTTTTTCTCAGTTGGTTCTGCATGAATAAACTGAATCAAACTGACAGCAAAACGAAGCTTTGGATGAACAGAAAGGAAAGACATTCAGGAATAAAAGATAATTTCTTCAACTGTCTTGTCAACGTGTGTGACTGAACCATAATCATGCTAAAACCATGTCTGCAATGCTTTGGAGAAAGAAAAAAAAAAGTTTGAGTTTAGCGCCACTTCGTGTTGAAAATATAATATTGCACGCAATTACTGCAACACCAAATTGGGCAACCGTTTGGAAAATTAGATCACGATTAGGATTTTATTTTATTTTATTTTATTTTATTTTTGACTTTGAGAATTTACATACGCTACAAAGGATATCAGTCTGTAACGATCCAGTCTAATGGATCTTAATGAGCATAATTTGGTTAATTTTTATTTTAATTATACGTTTTTATTTCAAATAAAATTGTTATAAAGAGAAAAAATGTATAGTGTTAAACTTATTGTCCTCTGGATGAATTGTGGAAGGATAATTTCCTCCAGTTTGTATTTTAACACTTTGAAAAACTCAAAAAAACAAAAACAAACAAACAAAAAAGTCTGCAAGGTCAAGTCCTTTTGCTGTGGGCATACTATTTTTTATGTTTTGGAAAGTACATGTAATTTTTTTACTTTATTTTGTCACCTCAAGGAAAGCCTCACAGGAAGTGGTTTGGTTTTATGACCATTTCCCCCCTAAAAGATAATAAAGTTACTTGTTTGTCCCTTCAGTTGAATGCATTAATGTTGGAAGAGACAGACTATCCACTTCTGCTAACAGCTTGTAAACAGTGGAAAATAACTACATTTCCTTTAAGTAAAAATAATTATTAAAGAAGACCTGAACATTCTTTTTCTTTTATGCCTGCCTCGTCTTGCCCTAATATGCTTTACTGCTCTTCAATATGGAGACTTGCGCCCTCTTGTGGAAGGGAATTAGAAAACGCTGCACATTTCCACGCAGCTGAATGCGATGTAAATGACTAATTTTAGTGAGTTTGTGCACAAAATCATGTTCAATAAATCTCCACCGAACAGGTTTTAGTCACATTTTCAGTTTTTCTACACCTCCAAAAAACAAAAAAAAAAACAAAACAAAAAACAAAACAAAACAAATGAATGACAGATCTGCAATAAAGATTTGGCAGCAGAAGGTTTTATTTATTTAATGTCAAACCAATAATTTTAATGCATTTGTGGTTTTTGAGCTGCTCAGTCTTATTTTTTATTCTTTGCTTCTTTCATGACTTTTTGAAGGGCTGCAAAATTCACTGAAGCGAATCCTGCAATCATCATAGCAAACTCCTTGAAGTCTTCGTCCTGGTTAAAGTCCACACCTTGGAATACCTCGTTGCCAATGTCTTTGCCAGACGCCTTATGGAAAGAAATTAAAATATGAGTAAAAGTTCACTTATTTCACCTTAAATTTCCTCCCTCAGGTGCACATTTTGATAATTTATGACCTTTGTTTCAGACGTGTGAAAAGATCAAACATTGCAATTAAACTTTTTCTGCTTAGTGGGTTATAAAGCGTAATTAGTAAAGGTATACTCATAAATAAATGTAAATGTAGAAAAATCTAACCCACAAAATTTGTACAAATTTGGTAATTATCTAACACCAAAGATGGACATGCGTTCGCCTCACCTTGAATGAGGGTATCTGTTCATTCAGCAGCTCCAAAAAAGCTTGTTTGGACAGCTTTCCATCGTCTCCTTGCTTGTCCATGTAGACGGCATACAAACAACCCAATGCAAACTCGCATTCAGTCATTTTTCCAGCCATTTTCAGACAGGATAAGGATCTGGACACAAAACACAACAGTCAGAATCGCATTTAAAAAAAATTACTGCATTCAGTTTACATTTTTAGACATACCTAACAAAAGTAGAGCAAGTTTCTTAACGTGTGCACCTGAAAAATTTAGATATAAACGATTACGGTTCACTGTGCAACATTGTTAGTCCAAACCCACACCTCCTTAATAGGGCTCAGTGCAGTGGACTAAGAGCTGTGCATACAGTGTAGCCGCTGTTGGGGAAACATAATTAAACTTCCTAACTTGTGTACTGGACACTCAATGTTTGTCTGCTGATGTTACTTTCTAATAGTATAAATATTCTGAGACATTTAAATACCTTTCTACATATCAAAATCCTAATTATTCTGCTTGCTACCCCTATTATCATGGTTCAAACCAGTAACCATAATAACGCAGATATGACAAGCTAATAACAAATTAAGGTAATTATAGCAGGTATGCTACACATTATTATTATTATTATTATTATTATTATTATTATTATTATTATTATTAAGTCATCAGTCTGAAACAACACACGCATTTCCTCTCTCTTCCAGTGCTGTCCATCTCTCTCCCCTCTGTGTGCCACATCATTTGTAGGCATCCTGTGGGGAGGGGTAGGATGAGGGGAGGGATGTCTGGATGAGGAATAAAGCTACAGGCATCCGCTAATACTCAGCGTGGATATATTACATTTTCAGTAAACATTTCTTCTTCTTTTTTTTTTCTCCATCTAAACGCATCACGATGTGACGTTATGCCAACGTGCTTATTTTTAATCCGTGCGCATCTATTGAGAGAGAGAGAGAGAGAGAGAGAGAGAGAGAGAGAGAGAGAGAGAGAAAAACTAACACGCCAAGATTGGCTTTTCGGGAGGGATGATTAGCTGCTTCTTTTCTCCGGATAAACAATTATAATTATTTGTAAGCGTGTCTTTAACATGCACTGTAAGGTCTGCGGTCTGGATACGTGTCGAGACATATCCAGATGATGAAAGCAGAGGGCAGCTATTTTCTTCATGTGGCAGAGATGGATGTGAAAACAGCCTCATCAGCGATGGAAGCCTTGGCTCGGATCAGCGTGAGTATCTTCGGGTTTTATGTGGGTTTGTCTCGAGATGTACATAGAAAATCTGTAATTTGTTTTTTTTTTTTTTTGCTGATTGGGCGGTGAAAATCGCTTTAAAGGGGATAGCGTTCGCGCGCAGATTAATATGAAACCGAGGATCAATACAGTTTGTCCGATAATTGGGTTGCTTGATTGATCAGATCGTAAAGTGTTTTCAAAATTTGCACATAAAATGGTGACTGAGACCACGCGTTTCTTTTTCTTTCTTTCATTTTTTTATTTTTTATTTTTTGGTTGGGTTCCTTGGATGTTTGTTTCCATGGAGACGGGATGCAGGACTCCTGCTTGCTGCTGAGGGGCAAAAACGCGAACGGTGTGCAATGGGGGCATTTTCCCCCCCCAACTCTAAAAGCGGTCAGGTTCAGCAGCGCTGGCCAGAGCGAGAGATCTGAGAGTAGAAATAGAGCAGGCAGACCTGCTCTTATGTGTGTGCACGGTGCCTTTTTTTCACACCTCCTCTCTGGCGATGTAGCGCCTCAAACCCCTCCCCTCCTCTCCAAGAGCGACATCGCTCTCCTCATGCGGGGAGATACAGTGACTATAAGCACGTATAGTCCTGCCGTCATGGCGCCCAGATTCCAGGTGAAGGTAAGGATGCGCCTGCTTTGACGCCCTCAGTAGCAGCAATGCGCACTGACCATTTTGAGAAGGAGACAGAGAGATCCCAGTTTGCAGTGGTTTCTGTAGTCTGCAGGAGAAAACACGACCTGAAATGTGGATGCTGGAGGAGGTGACAGATAGGCCCGAGCTGACATTGGAGAATGGCGAAAAGAAAAAAAAAAGGTGGACTGAAGGATAAAGTTGGTGATTCCAACATTCTTTACTGATTCCAACAGTGTGCTTTAAAGTGTGCTAGCTTAGATTTATTTGCAGGTGCAAAGGCTAATTCAGTCTCAGCCAATGCATCTGCAGCTCTATTATTTTATGTCTAGAAATATGCAGGTTTCATCAGTCCGCATGCTACCGGTTTTTGTTGCCCTGCCATATTCTGCATGGCCTCCTGTGGCCACTTCTGTATGCCGAGATGAGCTGCCCTGCTTTCTTTCCTCCATCACATCATACAGCAGTGACAAAATTACCAAATTCCCCTGTGCAGCACATTCAGACAGCCTCGTCCTCTGCTTGAAGTTAATTCATGGTGAGTGAGATTGGCTGCAGCCGACCTGCAACAGTTTTGCTTTCAGGTTGAGTGTGTGTCAAGGGCATCTACCGAAGCATGTTGGAGAGAGACATGTAGTGAGTTGTCACAGTGTCCTGCAAACACAGCCTGTTCATAAGGTTGGACCACAACGATGAAGAGAAGTCTCCATTAGATGGAGCGACTCAGACAGGGGGTTCCGCCTCAGACAGTTAAAGACCCCGAGATGATACCCAGGGGATTGCTAAAAGCCCTAATGGATGCAACGATGAAACGTGAGGTAGGAAGGGAAGAGGGATGAATGAGACAGGAATACAGGTTAGGGAAAATTGGGATGATGAAGACTGAGGTTGGGATGATGCCAATAGGGATGAAGGGAGGTAGGGGATGAAAGGTCAGTATCGTATCGTATCGTATCGTTTATCATTTATCGTGATAAATTTCTTATCCTGATAAGAATTTTTATTTATGAATTTCTATTAATTATATTTAACCCCCACCCCCCAAACTGTAGCTTTACTATTTTTTCCTCTCTTTCTAAGAAAAGCATCAATAAATACTAATAAATGTGAAAATACCGTTACTGCGTGAAGCTTAGTGATACAAATCACACTTCTTTATGTGACTAGTGTCCTTACAAACGGTATGTGTTCCAAGAGCAGGACTGGTGTTCACGTGGTTATAATTTCTGTGACAGTTACCCAAAAAAAGACGTGACGGCGAGGAGGGTGAGTTATGAAGAGGCAGGCCTGGAGGAGGGTTGATGCGGGATGAAGGCAGTAGTGGAAGTTTAGGGCTGAAAGATGAGGAATAATAGAAGGAGAGAGCGATGAGGAAAGTAAGACATGGTAGTAAACAGGTTGAATGGATGAGGGAAGGATTGGATATGAATAATGGAGGAAGAAAGGTAATCATGAGGGACGTAATATGTGATGGGTCAAGAATAAGCATGACAAGTGGGAGATGAATGAAAAATGTAGAGATAAGAATTGAAGAAAGCAGGGTTTAGGAGTAGAGGACAAAATTGGAAAGGAGGAGGGTAAAGGGAGTTAGACCTCACAATGTAGCTTCCCACCACCAACAAGTGAATGTATGAATGGGTGAATGACTGAATATAGTGTAAAGTGCTTTTGAGCATTTAGGGAGAAGAAGTGGTAAGATTATGAAAGAAGAATAAGGGAAGTGGAGACAGAAGAGGGAGAGATGATGGAGATAGTAATGAAGGATGAGCAGTAGCAGTCCTACGCTAATCTGCTTCTAATTTCTCTTCACTAATCTATCTGGACTTTCTCCCATTGACTTGGATTTCTTCGGTAGAATTTCAGAGGACAGAAGGAGAAGTTGTGAACGATGCTGTAGATTTTCTGCACTTTTTCAGAATTGTAGTCTGCCTTCAGTTGTAGCAATAGCAGCGTAGGAAGTGAATGAACCGCTGACACGAGTGTGAGTTGGTCACGCTTCCAAATAGTGAAATAACATCGACGGCCTCCTCATTCAGATCGGCTCGTCTCTCTTCGCAGTGGAGGATGGTTGTTTACAGTGCAGGCAATTTCCAGTAAGCTTCATAGCATCGAGCTGGCGCTTTACCTGGGTCACGGCTAAGCGATTGGGTAAAATTTAAAACCTCAAGAGAGTCCACAGTTCCTCAGGAAGAAATAGTTTCTCAATAGCTGAGAGCCCAAACTCTCCACAAGAAGCGAAGTGTGGAACAAGGGATTGGGTTCTCAAGCTGTTAACACATTTACCGCATTATTTGTCAAATTTATGTGCTTCAGCTGACCTGCGTTCCCACTCTTCAGCTCTAAACGTGAAAACAGGAGTGTTGGTTCAGGGATAAAATAAAATCCTCTCTATCCTACATGGAGATTTACAGCACTTTGCTGCAATAATGCAGCTGCAGTTCATACTTGTTTGCATTTTATTCTTAGTTCTGCTGGTATAATCAATGCACCACGTTTATATGCATAGCACAATAAAAATAAGGTCAATTTCATAGAATTATAAAGTATATTCTGAATTTGGTCAAGCAGCTCTTGTTCATGCAGGATACTGTTATCTAAGAAATGCAGAGGCTGAATATTTAATATTTGATCTTTATCTATAATTAATATGATTAGTGCCCAGTGGCAGCTGTCTGGTACAGTTTTATTCCCTAACCTCAGTAATTCCTGGTCGCATCTTAATGAGAACATTTTCAGCCAATATTTTGCATTTCCACGTCTCTCATTTCATTTTTGGATCATTAAATGTCTCGTAACCTTTCTCCCTGCAGTCCAACATGAAGAGCCTGGAGCACGAGTTGCATTGTCCTGTGTGTAAGGAGATCGTCAAGCAGCCCGTGGTTCTGCCATGCCAGCACAGCGTCTGCCTGATGTGTGCCTCAGAGGTCCTGGTGGCCAATGGCTACCCACCCCCAGAGCTCCCCCCGGAGCCCAACTCTCCGGCCTCCACGCCCAACTCTCGCTCTCCTCGTCAAGCACGCCGGCCCACTCCCAAACACGAGCAGCGGCCCATTGACCGAGTGCTGCGATCAGGTACAAAGAGTGTACTCAACTCGTTTCCATTTCCCGTTTTGGCTTAAATTTAACTGGTCTTCTGGCTTGGCTCGAGGCCCCCATCCGCCTTCACCATCCATGCCTCGCTCTCCCGGACACGGGACGTATCCAGGGCGACGGCGTAAGGAGGGTCCTCCTCTGGTGATGATGTTCCCCTGCGTCCCCTGCGGCCGGGATGTTGAGCTGGGCGAGAAGGGCCTGACTGACTGTCTCCGCAACCTCACATTGGAGCGCATTGTGGAGAGGTAATTATCACAAGGGTCCTAAAGAGTCAGGAAGATTCCAAAACTAGAAAAAAAGCTGTGAAAATGTGACTAAAAATATGATCAAGGAGTGATGCTGCGTGCTAATGAAACCAAAGGAGGTGTGGGATCATGTCCACATCTCATTATTCAGCTGTAGCTGAACTGTGAAAAAATCTTGCACATTGTGCACTACAACATACTGTACAGTGGCTACATTTAATGACTGTTTTTCCACAGTCCAGCAGCTTACAGTTCACTTTCCCCTGCATTTGTTGCTGCTTGTGACATTCTTTGTTCCAACACTTAATTTTTTCAGCCAATTAACAGTCTGATTTAACGTTTTTTTAAAATTAAAATTTCATCATTTATCTCAGTTGACCTGGAGTTTCAGCTACACAACAAAGAGAGGCTAACATCATCCTTTAAAGGGGACTTATGATGTAAAATTTCATATTTAACACGCTTTGTGTCTTTACTGGTTTTGAAAACAGCCCAGGCGCTTAAAAAAAACAAAAACACCCAGCCGTTTTTTAGCATTAAGTTTTGGAGTCTGGAAAACTAGTTATTTCAAAAACCTCCAGCTAGCACTGCCCGTCACCTTAATTGCTCGTTTTGTACTCTTGCACCAGGTACAGACACACGGTGAGCCTGGGCAGTGTCGCCGTGATGTGCCAGTTCTGTAAGCCTCCTCAAACTCTGGAGGCCACCAAGGGCTGCGCTGACTGCCGGTCAAATTTCTGCAACGAGTGTTTCAAGCTGTATCACCCATGGGGAACGCCCCGAGCACAACACGAACACATCCAGCCGACACTCAACTTCAGACCAAAGGTTAGACACTCCTGACTTCCATTCATTTAGTTCATCCCTTCTCTCCATCAGCTTTGCCTTACTTCCCAAAGCATGATACTGCCATCACTATGTTATACTGTGGGGATGATGTGCTAAGGGGTGATGTACATGATATGGTTGCTTCAGAGTTATTGTTATTAAGATTACTGTTTTCTTAATCCTTTATCCTTGTCGGACTGAAATGTCGTACATTTTAGTTTTCGGGTGATGGATTGATGTTAGATGTTCAGAGCTTGTAATTCAGTTTTAAAACCGAAACCTACCGTCAACTTCTACTCAACGTGTCTAGTGTGTTTACTGGTCTTGCACGCAACACTTTTCAAATTTGTATTTGTGAAGATAAATATTTCTGCAATACTTTATGTTGATGCATCACATGCAATTCCTAACAAAACATTGAAATTTGTTTTTACAACTTCACAAAACTTTCAAGTGTACATAAAATTTGCAAAGCACTATATATTATATTTAAACTGCATACAAGTTGCATTCATAAATGCCTTTGATCCCCTATTATTTGCAATTTATGAAGGTATATAACACATAATTCCTATATTATAATGTACTAAAAGCAAATTTCTGTTAAAAATCTGCCTATTTTCTTTTGTGAACTGCAGACTGAATTACTTATCAGTGACAAGCTGAATTAAAAAAAAAATGAAGTGAAATAAGAACAAAAGGCATAATATTTGACATTGCATGTCATTTTGATGATATGGTATTTTAAACATGCATTAGTTCAGGTCTGTTTGTGTTCTTTTGCTCAGGTTCTGACCTGCACGGAGCACGACCAGGAGAAGCTGCAGTTTTACTGCAGGTCCTGCCAGCGGCTGCTCTGCCCGCTCTGCAAACTGCGGCGCATCCACACTGGACACAAAATCCTCCCGGTGGCACAAGCTTACCAAGCTCTTAAGGTTTTGTACAAATATTCACAGCTTTGCAACAGCTCTGACTGCACCTTTTCTTTTTGCTTCACTTCTGATGAGCCAAACTTTCTTCTAATTCTGTAAAGTGGTCTTGACTAATGCATGGAAAGTACTGGATTACAAAGAAATCGGTACGAAACAGCCAAGTCCAAATAATATTTATTTTTGAAGACCTTCAAAGTGACATCTCAGTCTTTGATTATAACAACTTTAAAAGATTACAAGTGGAAACAAAATCTAAGATTATCTTTTTAAATTGTATTGCACTTTATGCATTATTCAATGTTGTACATTAGCGAAAAACTTCCTATGACTGAGATGAATTAAGAAATACAATTTAAAAATTATTTTTATGTCATTTACTGGAGTTAAGCCAAAGATTATATTTAGATTTTAGGATTGATTTATGAATTATTCCTCTGCAACTCTGAGAATGATAAAATTTGATTTTAGTATTTTACAGGTCTGATAGGTGTTTACAATATATTGTTTAAAATAAAACACAAGATTATAGGAAAATTATTTGTAATTCCAGACATTATTCTCTCTTCTGTTGTACAAATGTTGAATTCTTCCTTTTTTGTGTTTGTCCGTCCCTCTTTTGTGTACCTTTGTTTTTTCTGCTTTAATTTCTTGTGTTCTTTGATTCCTTCCATTCTTCTTTCCTTGTATCCTTTGTTCCTTCCTTTTTGGGATTCCTCTTTCTTTACAAATTCTGCATTTGCTTCTTTGTATTGTTCCCATCTTTCCTGTCTTTTGTCATCTCCCCCACATGTCATTTGTCATGTTGTACTTCCCTTCAGTTTCTAGTTTTTGTTGATGTCAGATCCAAATCCTCCCACAGCACATAAATCTGCCATGAATTCCACAGTGAACATTTATATCTTACACTCTGAAATGAGAATAAGTCTGGCTACGTTTGGCCTGGATTAATCTGGAAATGTTCCATGACAACATTTGTATTTAACTGTAACCTGATGTGCGTGTGTGTTATTCATTGTTGATGTTTTCAGGAGAAGATAACGAAAGAGATGAACTTCATCCTGTCCAGCCAGGACACAGTTCTGGCTCAGATCACCCAGCTGGAGAGCGCCATCACTCAGACTGAGGTGATGAAAACACTTAGCAGTTAAATAACTGCTAAGTTATGGAAAGTACTAGAGTGAACTTATAGAGCCACTCTAGCTCTGTGAACTCCTCTCTGGTTTGTACAACCAGGTGAACAGCGTGTCGGCCAGAGAGCAGCTGGCCCAGAGCATCAGAGACCTGACGGCCGCTCTCGCCGAGCGTCACGCCTCGCTCACCCAGGCCCTGGAGGCGGCGCGGCAGAAACGCGGCGAGGCGCTTTCTGCGCAGGTGGCGGAGAGACGCGGCTTGATGGAACATGCGGGGCTCATGGCTTTCACCCAGGAGCTGCTGAAAGAGACAGACCAGCCCTGCTTCGTGCAGGCCGCTCGCCAAACACACAACAGGTTTTCTCTTTTGCTTAGTTCTTGTGTCACTCTTTGAATTGACTACACAAATCTGAGTTAAAATGTACATTTAGATGCTTCAAATTGATCTTTTTGTCTTCGATCCAAATACATCACAAGAAGAAAAACGTTCTACTCAAAACCTTAAGCAAAGAAGACATCGCAATTGGCTTAAAGAAGCACATATTGCTTATTATCAATCTCTAAAGGCTAAAGGATCATCTCTAAAATGATTGCTCTAATTTTCCAGGTTCTCATGAATAAATCACAGCAGGTTCGGCTTAAGATCAAACCATGCAATGGCAGGAAATTAACAGAGACGTAACAGATTCATCTCGGACTCCACTGATCTCTGCCAGCATGTTAAATGTTTCAGTTTGAGTCAGAACAGGTGGGGAGAAACTAAAGTTGCGTTTGACTTATTTTGGAAAAGACTCATCTGACCAAAGGTTCACCTGAATGAACCAAAAGACGTTTGGAACAAGGCCTTTTGAGCAGATGAGACTAAAACAAAGACATTTTACCTTAATACTTTTTGTAGATATTTTATCTTAATATCTACAAAACGTAGATTTTTGTTGTTCGGTGTATTTGGAAAAACTATATATTGTGTGGACTTCTTTAAAAAAATGACCTTAGCTTTTCGATGAATTATATATGTGTTTGCTTCGATCATTGCAGTTACATGATTGATGTGATGTGATTCCTCTTTAAACAAGCCACAGACGTTTATTGCTGAGAAAAACAATCTCCAAATCCGCATTAATCTCTAAATCTAAATGATGCATAACATTTATTTAATCTAAGGTTGAGTCATATCTTCTTATAAACATTGCTCAGTGGTTTAATGACAATACTTAACCCACAAGACAATGTTTGGGTAGTTTGTCTTCTGCAGAAAGGAATGAGTTTGACATGTTCATAAAACTGATGAGGTGTTATTTTTGGCTCTGTTCAACAGATTTGTTTGGAGTAATAAAAACGTGGAATAGCACGTGGTCTTGTCTTTTATTCAGCCTATTTAATCCTTCTTGTTGAAAGCACTGTATAAACACTTTTCCTCCTCTTACATTGTTTTTTTTTCTGTTACTTTTGAACTGAACCAGGTTGAGCAAAGCAATTGAGAATCTCCAGCATTTCACTTTGGCTGCTGATCCGTCCTTCAGACACTTCCAGCTGGATGTTTCCAAAGAGCTCAAACTCCTGACTGAGCTCAACTTCATCCAAGGTGAGGAAGAGGATGGTGATGTGGTAGCATGCATATTGATTTTCATGTCCAGATACATAGTTATAAAAATAAAAGAGACCAAAATAAAGATAAATTGAGGGAATACGAGCAAAAGTAAACACTGAACACGCTCTTGTTTCAGCTCCTCTGGCTCCTGTCATCGACACCCAGCGCTCTCTGGCGTACGACCAGCTCTTCCTGTGCTGGCGGCTGCCTCAGGAGTCGGCGCCCGCCTGGCATTTTTCCGTGGAGTATCGCCGCCGAGGCGTGGTGCCTGGAGGAGCTTCAAGGGGTGGGATCAGAGGAGGCCTCGCTGCCGCCAGATGGGGCTGGCAGCGGCTGGATGAAGTGAGCGGAACCAGCGCCGTGATCGACAGGCTGGAGATGGACAGCGTGTACGTCCTGCGCGTGAGGGGCTGCAACAAGGCAGGATACGGGGAGTACAGCGAGGAGGTGTACCTGCACACCCCACCTGCACCAGGTGGGGGAGCGCACATGTTAGCAGTTCTTATTGGCCTTTTCCGTAGAGACGTTCATGAAAAATGGGTGGACACAAAACTATTTATGAAATTTATGAAAGTGCAAAAACACAAAATCCTACCAAGTAGTACTGGTCTAACTGGTCTAATTGCTCCTGCAGTTAGACCAGTACTTTTGAACCTTGAAAAGAACCTTAGTACTTTTGAAATAACTTACAAGAAACTTTTCAGCAAGATATAAAAACTTGCTTTAAGTTATTAACAGTGAAAAACTGATGTAAAATACTGGCTACAGGTGAAATAATATGCCAGTGGAAAAATACATTTTCCTTTTCCACTGGTAGATTTCACCACTTACGTCTAGTACTTGATTTTCTGAATAGTAAAGAATTATTTACTTCTAACAAGCTCCTATATCATGTTGAAAAGTTACTTGTGAGTAAGTTTTATCTTACTTCAGGCGTACTAAAATATTTACAAATATTTTAATTTACAAATATATCTACAAACTTGACAAAAACTACTTTGTAAGACTTTGTGTTCCTACAGGGCACACAATTAAACCCACATTATTAAACATGCAAGATTTGAACACGTCGCTCAATAAATTTTAATATGATGAAAATTGTTATTCTTTAAAGGTTCCTTGCTGAAAAATCTGGCTGTGCACAAATTGTTGTTTCCAAACAAGTCAATGAAAAAAGTTCAGTGGAAGGAAAAAGTATGGTTGAAAAAGCAGCTTTGGGAAAATTTTGATACAAAACCCATTCTAGAGTCCAGCTACATCTGCTATGATTCTTGTTTTAAACCAGAAGCATCTTATCTGGACTAAAATAATTGGACTATTACTGAGTGGCCCAAATTATTCTTAGTAAATAAAATTGATCACATGGAGATGCGTTTCAACAGGAAGTACGAAGGATAGATTATGCTCTACAAACAGAGTTACACCTAAGGGCAACTCTTTATGAGTACAGAGGCATGTACTGCCTGCAACAACTTGTACTGGTCTGCTTTATCCTTAATTCCTCTGCACATACAGTTTATTAAAAGCTATATGACACAATCTTGATTTTAAATGTACAAGTAATCACCAATTAAAAGCAGATATTCACAGGCTGTATATAAAGTTTGGCAATGTTATTCCAAAATATTAACTTTGTTGTGTCAGAGTTGGTGTGTTTGGAACAGGACCAAAATGCAAACAGGTTAGGGGAATTGTGAGTCATGTTTACTTTAAAGCAATTATAAAAATATGCAACCAGGAAGATGGAGAGTAACAGAAAGAAATAGTGAAGAGTAATGACTCCATGAGGTAGATATGCAGAGCAGGGAGTGAAGATGACAAAGCAACAAATTAAAGAAACTTACTGCATCTGGGAAAAGAGAAATGAAGCTCGATTAGGTCAAGAACTCATCAAGGGGACTGAATGGCAGCCTGACTCAAACAAAGACAACACACAAAATACTAATAAAATAAATCCAATTGCATTGCACTGAGAAGTAGCTCGTATATTGAGCTTAACAGATGTGTAGTTCCACTAACTGTGTGCTAATTGCTGCTGGCTAGTCTGAAGGAGCTCTGTAGTGGAGTCACGGCTCTGTGAAGTGAAAGAACCAAAGCTTGAAAACTGCAGCTGCAAGGAGGAGCAGCGCCTCTGAGGTGGCGCTGGGTCCACCCAGGTCTTTGCACATTTGAATGGTTGCCATGAAGGTTAAATTTTCATGAAAGAGTCAAGCTAACATTCTAAGTCTGTATTTGACAAGGGAACAATATTATAATATGACATAAAGCTCAAAAAAGTCGATTTTACATAGTTCTACTCCTCTAAATAGGCACAATCCTAAAAGTAGTCAAATTTGAAATACAAAAAAAACTAAATGAGTCTTTTCTTTTTCCATTTCCACCTTTTTTCTGCAACAGTTTTCTCACTACCGACACATCCTCACTGTCTTGCTCTTTATTCCCTCACTTATTTCCATTTCACAGCTTTGTACTTGTCATCTTGAGCTGTGCTACTTCCACGCTGCCCAGCCTACATGCCTCCCACAGAACGTAAGAAGTGTATTCATCCCTGTCCCTCCTCTCTGCACCCCTGTGTCATCCTCTGTTACAACACCATCCCATTTTAGCTCCCAAACCAAGATCTGTCTGATGAGTTTTGCACTTTGTTAAGACATGGAGCTTAACAAAATGGATCGGATTCAGATCCGGGGCTTCGCAAGGGTCGATTTGTGTGCCTGGTGAATTCCCTTGTCCCCCCGTTGGCTGTTTTCCCTTCCTGCTATCCTTCCAACAACCAGGATTCCTTCTGTAAGAGCTGTGTGGTGAAAACTGCTGTTTATTTGGCTCCCTGAGTCATCGGTGTAAAGATCAATATGTGTTTCTCTTGCAGTGCTGATGGGAGGAGGTGCATGTCTGCTCTTTTCTTCTTGATGCTTTCTGGCAGTAAATCTGCACAACTTTCCTTCTGTTAACTCCCGAACTACTTCTGTCACTCTCTGCTCCTAAATCTGATGTCTCTTCTCGTCTTCTCTCATAACTCTCAGTCTGATCTCTCCATATCTTCCTCCTCTCTCTGCCTTCTCCTCTCTGTCAGTGCTTAATTTCTACCTTGACTCTCGTTGGGGTCTCCATGCTGACCGACTGGTGGTCAGCAAAGAGCAGCGTGGGGCTCGAAGCGTCCCTGGTCTCTCCCTCCTGCAGGCCGCCGACCACGCCCTCACCTCTTGCCACCTCACGTCGGACCTCCTGGTGGGGGATGTTGCCATCACACAAGGAAGACACTACTGGGCATGCTCAGTGGAGCCTGGATCCTACCTTGTAAAGGCACGTTCATTCTAGTTGCACCACATCGAGAAATCGTATAAACTTAAACAACTGTTGATGCCTTTTATTTATATCTTAGCCTAAACAACAATTACCACTGAACCACATGTTTGACAGTCAGAAATATTAACAGTTCTCTCTTGCAGGGCTTCATTCAGGGTCTTTTAAATTAAACTGCAACATACTATTGTAGTAATATTGTAGCATTTTATGCCATTTAAAGTATTTTCTTTGTGATTTGTTGAAGTGAAGCTCTCAAAAAGACATTAAAGGCAGATTTTCTTCAGTTAAAACTAAAAATATTGAGCTTTGGGGTAACTGCAGGATTTGAATTATTTTTGGGGTCATGTAAATATGTATTTCCAGACATTAGATCTTGTAAATCCATCCATCTAATTGTCACAGCTTGAAAATATTTTTTCAGTATTAAATGGATGGATGGACTGTCCCTTCAGTTCCTATTCATTAATTTGTCCTTCCTATCTTACTTGATTTGAGTGAATTAAAAAAACAAAACAAAAGCGATTTCCAAGGGAGTTCAGAGATTTTAGTTTAATCAACATCCATGTAAATTTATTTTTAGATTCTGGATTGTTTCTAAAAAAATCCAGTTTCAACTTCTAGTTGGATACAAGAGGCCTCCTGATTGGTCACTTCTCATTTGCTGCATCATTTTTGCTGTGCAGGTTGGAGTCGGGCTGGAGTCCAAACTGCAGGAGTGGTTTCACCTCCCACAGGACATGGCCAGTCCTCGGTGAGTTCAGCAAACACACAATCCCGACTATGAAAACTTAGCGGTGGCGGCATCATGCTGTGGGTTTTGAGGGACAGTAAAGCTGGTCAGGGTTAATGGGAAGAAACTCAGACGGAGCAGAGAGGCTGAGAACATTGACCAGTCTGAGCTTCAGCCATTTGGCAGAGAAAAGATGCACAAACCCTTAAGAGACACTATAAAAGAGTTGCTTCAAGAAAATATCATCTTAGGTTGACAGAATAAAAAAGTATGTTTGCAAATAAAATAGGAAACTACATATTTATTTCCTTTTGACATTTATGCCATATTTGATCCATTTCTAAACAATAGACCAAATGGAGGACAATTTGTTAGCATTTAATTGATTTAAACATAACTAAATTTCAGCTATGTTTATGATTGTAACATAGAAAACTTGAATTCAAGGAAATACAACTACTACTAATACTATTGTTGTCTGGTGGTAAATCAGAGAATCCTCTGCTTCCCCACTTTGAGACCAGCCAGCTGAAAATAGTTAAAACCTTTCTGGAGATTTTCTGGTCACATCAAACTGGGAGGAAACCCCCAGGGTCAGACCAGAGACAATATATTTATTCTGGTCTGATAGAAACATGAATTTAGGAGTGTTTCTGTGGGGAGGAATGCCAGGGTTTCCCATCCATCCCTTTGTGACCTGACCTCAGATAAGCTGAGGAAAATTAATGGATGAAAAGTTCAACAGAAATATTTCAACCCCGAAGAATGATAAGGTGAATAATGAGCTCCATTATAAATGCATCTTTCAGGTTTAGTTTGACATGTTTCAGCTCTTCTCTTAGTCCAAAAACAAAGATGAATTCGTTACCCTAAATATTGGGTTAGGGTTCGGGTTGAGGTGTGAATGTATGGTTGTTTTGTTCAGTGTGTCTCCATCTTGTCCTGCGATGGACTGGCATGAGTTTAGAGGGCCACTTACAAAGCAATAGTTGGCCATATTTTTCTCCTAAACATCTAAAAGCGACTCTAACTCTTGTGATTTCTGTCTTGGTTGTTCTTTTGAGAAACTAAATTTTCCAACACCTTAATATCTAATGCACTTGGGTTATACATCAGGATCATAATGCAAATCAAACCAGCAGGTTACCTTTATGCGTGACTCTTTACCTAAATTAACAATTAAAAAATCCATTTTATCTGGACTTAAAACTATCAGATACTTTGGCATGAAAAATTCTCAAATTAAAAAAATCCAACTATATTGCTCAAATCCTGCAGTTTCAGGAAAGACGAGTGAGACAAAAAGCCAAAACACTTCATTCCAGTGATCACAAAGACTTAAAGTCAAGTTTATTTCTACAGCACATTCCTGCAACAAGGCAGTTCAAAGTGCTCTACATCATAAAAACATAACTGGAATAATAAACATTAAATTTTGTCAGATGCCATCTTCAAAATAAAGAAGCGAATGTGCTGATCAACGTGCCAGTTGATCAACATCTGATGGGTCAGTTCAGGGGCAGCTAGTTTTTCATTTCACTGTCAGTTTGGTTGCAGATACAGAAATATTCATCACTGCGTTTGTCTTTTATTAAGCTACGACCCAGACAGCGGCCATGACAGTGGAGCAGAGGACGCGCTGGACTCTGTGCCGCCCTTCTGCTTCCTCACCATGGGCATGGGTAAGATATACCTGCCCCAGCACAGCTACCACCACCACAACAACCACGGGGGCAACAATCGAGACCCGCTCACCAACAACAACGTCCCCTCGGGCCTCACCTACCCGCTGCCCCCTCGACTCGGCTTGTGCCTTGACTTTGAGAAAGGGCGTGTCACGTTCTACGACGCCCACTCCCTGCGGCCCCTGTGGGAGGGTCACGTCGACTGCTCCGGCCCCGTCTGCCCCGCTTTCTGCTTCATCGGCGGAGGCGCCCTGCAGCTGCAAGAGCTGGTGGCCAATCGCAATGCAGACCAGACGCCGGTCAGGAGGGTGACCATCCAACCGCGCGTCACCAATTTAAACAACAACAACTGATCCCCGATCGGCCGGTAATCTGGAATGTATTTGGCAAGTATTTACTCAGCTACAGCAAAAAGGTAGACATCTCAGCGATTTCTTTGTTTTGTATTCCATTTTATTTAAGAAAAACAAGATGTTTCTATAGCAACAAATATGCAATGTAATTATGTTTCTTACATTTTGTTACATGCAGTTTTGCAACAGTTATTGCTTAAGTGGTGTCTGGTGAATCCGGCACTCGGTATGTAATTATATATATTTAGTGCTTGCACTTGTAGCCAGGCTATGTTGCATTTACAGCTATAAAGCTTATGTAAAAAAAAGAAGAAAAAGCTTAACACAGTTTTCTCTCTATAATGTACAGGCTTTTCTTATGTATGTCTTTAATGTCTGCCTTTCTTTCATATACAGTGCCCTCCTGACTTATTGCCACCTCTGGAAAGGCTGAATGAAACACCTTCAAATATTTCCATCTCTATAGCAGAAATTCAGGGGAAAATACAACCTTTAATTTGAGTGTAATTACCCTTAACAAAATGATAAACAATTATTGGTAATCATGTAGTCAATACTTTGTACAACAACCTTTTTATAAATGGGTGGCATTAAAGAGAGGTTTAAAGGATGCACAGTGAGTTGAGCCTTAAAGTTTTCGATTGCCTATTTGCATGTTCAGTCAATGGGCAATTAGCGCCCCCTGCTGACTGCTGAGTGCATAGGCACTATTGTGTGTGCTTTGTTTGGGGCAGCAGTGCATTTTATCCTGCACTAAATGAAGGAAATTATCCAATATCAGGGTAAAAATGGGATATTTGACCGTTCCTCTTTGCTCGTTAAATCCTCCAAAGTTTTGGACCCACCTTTATAATTTAATCTATTCGGCTCATCTCACTGAATCATTTTTGTGAGATTCAAATCATTTCTGTGTTGATTTGGTGACATGCTTTGGATCACAATTGAGATTAAAGCCCCAGTGATGACCAATTTGTAAAGTTTCTCATAGTTGTCACCATGTTTATTTCAAATCTACCGACATTTTAATTAGTTAATGGTGATTTGCATGCTGACAATGTTTCTTCAGCCTTTGGTAAAGACATAATCTCACAGCCTTACAAGTTCTGCACCATATGTAACAGCATCTGAATCAAGGCACAAAAACAAATCAAGCATATTCAACAAACTAATTAACTAATGTGAGTCGAGTAAAAACTAGACTTTAATTATTATGATTTTCGCTTTCTATTGGATTAAGATACTCAAATTAAAGGTTGGATTTTTCTGAGATGTTCAGTGTAAGATTAAGCTTAAAATGGATTTATTTTAAGGCTTTTCACACATAATTTGTCAGAGATGACAATAAATGTGAGAGGCGCAGTGTAAGTGCATTACAGAAAAAAGTCTACAAGATTTTATTGCTTCTATAAGTAAATATGTTTCTGTTAGCCATTTGACCTCAGCCAAAGTTATTGTTTTATGGGATGTAAATGTGCTAAATTAGAGGTACGGAGTAACAATGAGGCTCTATGGCAATTAGAGGCTCCAATTATACCTCCGGTACACAGCAAATCACTAGTTCTCACAGTTTTGTTTGTGCATTGGCGTTTCGTATTTCAAACACGAGTCTGATGTTGGAGCGAGTGTGTAGGAGAGTCCTACAATAACGGGCTGACAGTATATGCTATTTTTTATTATTTTTTTTTGCTTGATTGTAAAAGAATGAGCAACACGTATGAAGAAAAGAGTAGCAGATTAATTCAGAGTAAACTTCACCTATTGAGAGTGTTTGTTAAAGTATAACAAAGGAAATAATCACGGAATAAAGTGAAATGGTTTAAATGACGCTTTCTGATTCCTCTTATTTGCTTTTTATTTGAATGATCTCCAGCTTCTTTAACGTGAGGATGTGTCAGAGTGTCACCACTGGGGGGCAGCAAAACACCAGACAGAAATCTTTCTGCGTTTGCACCTAAATGGACGGTAAACATGATGAATATTTGGAAAGATTGAGGAAATTTGGCAAACAAATGTTTTGACAAGCGTTATTCAAATCCAATAGATCTTGGTCCAGATTTTCTCCTTCAATGGAAACCAGAAAAACAAAAGCCTGAATAAATGAATTGACATAAAATGAATGCATTAACTACACAAAGGTGCAAAACACTGCACAGGAAAGCAGGATTTAGGATCCAATTGTCCAGAAGAATCCAGAAGAATAGGTGAAGAAATAATTGCGGCAGAATTGCTCTACGGTTGGAAATCTGCCCAATATAATTATTTTTTCAATATCTTACAGCCTGCAGTCGAAGAACTTTTAGCTTTGCATTTTGATCTTCACTTCTTGTGATTCCCAGATTAGATACCCTCCTCCCCCCACCAAAAAAACACAATCATCCTCATACAACTTTAAAGCACTGTGCCAAAAATCACAGCTTATTTCTTGTTTTTTGGATATTAAAAACAAACCGTGACGTTTAAAAAATTAGAAAAACAACAAAACCTGCCATTCCAGTAATTGGGATGTATGTCAAACGTCAGAAAAAGGAATGGCTACTTGAAAACGCTGCTCGCTTAAACTCGCCCAGTTTAACAACAGTCAGATCAGCAGCTTGAAGGTTTAAAACAACTACAACTGTGGCAACCGAGGCAGGACGAGGATGCGAGGCTTATCGTGTTTTCACACAGTGATGAGAATGTGTGTTAAAAAGTCTGCAAAACAATACTGTTAGAGAATAGCAGCTAAAAGTGGCACATTCAGATCAGCAAGTCGATGTTTATCCATGTGATGCTCTGAGATATGCCAGGAAAATATCATTTCTGTCTAGTACAAATGTAAACATGGACTTTGATAAATGCTACTGAGATTTTAGCTGTATGTTAACAACAAATGCTCCATGGAGGATCTGCTGTAAAACAAAAGGCCCTAATACCCACTGCTAAGTACAGTGGGGAATCTGTGCTGCTGTGGGTTTGTTTTTTCTTTAAAAGACTCTTTGTTCAATCTATGTCATCCTGAAATCTGTCAAATACCAACAATTTTGAGTAAATCTTGATGGAAACTTGCAGAAATGTGAAAATGAATCAACATGGGGTCTTTTAAGAAGATAATTAAATTTATGCAATCAAAACAAAACATAAATGCTTCACCAGGCAAAACAAATCAACATTCTTCCATGGAACAATCTGGAGAACATTGAATGGTCAAAAATCCCTCCAAGTAAATATTTACATTTTAATAAATGCGATAGAACAAGAGGATGTGCTTTATTTCATTGTCCAATCATCTGTCCAGTTCAGTGTGAATCACAATAGCATGCATGGTTGCAGTTCCTGAGCCTTTGCTACAAAGGCAGGGGTGATGGTGCATTAGGCATATCAAATGCCTAATGGAAAATACAAAAGCCATTAGTCTACTTTATGAGTTCAGATCAGTTATCCCTCAATATTTTCTCAGTATTTGTGACAAGTGAACAATCCAGTCCTAAATCACTGACCCATGTGCTGTGAGGACAAAGTCTCTCTGATATCCTGTAGCTTATTTTCACAGTAAATCTATGAACCTTGTCTAAATCATGATCTTTATTCTGTTATGCAACACTTTCTATCCTCATAAGTCTTGTCTTTTTTCCACAAAAATGGCAGCAACATTAAATGGAGTTACAAATATGAGATCCCCGCTGGCATGAGCCTGAAACCAGCTTGTTAGAGAGAGTTCTCCAACACCTTACAGAGAACCAAATTAGGGAATATTTTAAGGAAGCAAAGAGCCAGACGTTCGTAGAGTGAATGCCAAGACATTAGTCCATTCTGGCAACATGTGCTGTTTAACATTAAAGCCACATGTCGGATTGTAACCTGCCTTTTCCTTCCTATTTGTGTTTTTAAGCTCTCAAGTAACACTAAACTGTGTTGTCTGTCAAGCCATAAAGTTAGATCTATTTTCAGAAATACGCTCAGCAATGACTTTAAACCACACCTTGCTGGTATTATATCAGACCACTTTTCCTATAGAGATGCCTCAATTTATCACTCGACACATTTAACAAGATGTCTGAAACATTCTTTGGAGACTATGGTTCTTTTTTTTGTTCTTTTTTACATGAATTCGTCACCCAGTTGCAGTAGAAATGTTGGCTGCACATACTGTGCATGATGTAAATCTCTTGTTCCACCACACCCCAAAGGGACTCTTTTGGATTGAGATCTGGTGCCTATGAGGCCAACAGAGTACAGAGAATTTATTGTCATGTTGAAGAAAACTCTGAGATGATTTGAGCTTTGTGACATGATGTATTCTCCTGCTGGAAGTGGCCATTAAAGGCGGGTACACCGTGGTATAGTCCATGGACTATTCTCATATAAGGATGTACATCAGCGGTTCCCAAAGTCAGTCCTCGGGGGGCCGGCATCCTGCATGATTTAGTTCTCTCCCTGGTTTAGCACACCTGCATCAAATGATGGCACATTAGAAGGAGAACATTGACTTGCTGAGGAGGTTGTTACTACCACTAGAGAGAGAACTAAAACTTGCAGGATGCCGGCCCTCCAGGACCGACTGATGTCCACAGTCAGCATGAGTACTTCGGCAGACCGATCCATGTTTTCAATCATCTAAATGAGGGGTGTCAAATTCATTTTCATTTTGAGCCATAGTCATTTTGAGATCTCGAAGAGCCAATTTTGCCAGGATGTCTCGTCAGAAGCCAAAACCAATACTTAAATATTCATAAACAACCATTTCTTTACTTAATAAGTGCTGTAATTTGGCAGTATACAGATAAAATCTGCTTTAGTCTGAAAAAGAAAACAATGTTCAAGGAAACAACTGTGATCTTGAATGTTCTACGGTGGGCCAGATTTGGCCCTCGGGCCTTAAGTTTGACCCTCGATCTAAATGACACAGCAACAATCAAGACTCGTTGGACCGAACAGCTTTTTCCCCCCAATCTGCTATCATCCAATTTTGTAAATTCTACTACTAATTTTATGTGCTTGGCTGACAAGAGCGACACGTTTGTGAACTTCTGTAGTGGGTGGTATTCCATCCATCCATGTCAGGCAGCTACTAGTTTTTTTTTTTAGCTACTTTTACCCCTTTTTGCCACTCTCTGAAAATATGAGAGACGTTTGTGTGCTAATCCCAGCAGATGAAGTTCTGTGTTAGTTCTGTGAACAACACAGAACTAATTTGACTGTTTAACTTCTGTCTCTGAGGGTTTGGAGACCTGAATGCTGTAAAATACTTGGTTGATTTTAATGACCTGTAATTACAAGGCTCCCGTAGAATTTGGTTAACTGATTGAAAAGCTCATTCAAATTTTTAAATCGTCAGTATCACATTTAAAGCTCGTAAAACACTCACCTAATAGATGTAAAGGTGCCTGACCTCGGTTTCAGATGCCCCCTATTGGCTGACCACTAGAATAATACGGCAAATAATTTAAACATGCTTCAGATTCCTTCAAATGTCGAAATGTTTGGTCTCTCCTGACGGGAAATGAAAGGAATTCTCCAGATATCAAAAAACAACACTCCCATTTATGAGATTGTTGCTCAGTGAAACGGCCTGGGTGAAGAGTGATGAAGAGTGAAAGTCCATCTGCTTTCGATTGAGATATTAGCACACCTCACATATGCAGGCACTTAGCATTCCTTATGTAAATGTAATGTAAATCACTGGAGTTTACCTTTTATGAGCTTCAATATGAAAATGCACATATGTCCCTAATTGGACCCATATTCATGAGAAACCTGTATGGGAATTGGGGTTTGCCTGATCCACAAAGGAAGGATAAAAATGGTAAAAAAAAAAAAAAAGGAAATTTAAAGAAAGCCTTCACACAAGCCAAGGTTTGCTTTTAATGTTCTTACACACGTAGATAAAAATACTGCTTGCAAAAGTGGGTTTCAACTCTGATCCCCTATGATATAGAAGAACTGGAATGTACTATAAGGCATGAATACTGTACCGCACAAACCCCCTGTACGCTTGCTGCACCTCTCTTCTTTATTCCAAATCTGTAACAGATTGGGTTTAGTCTGACTGGAGGTATGCAGCCACAACACCACATGTAGGGGTCTCCATAATCCCCTCTGCCGGGTATTAAAGCTCACAGCATGAGCGTTCCTTTAAAGACCTTGCAGAAATTACCAACACGTAATCTCCATGATCATCATTTAGTTTATTTTTTATGGTTGTCTACTGCGGGGTGGAGGTGGGGGTTCATCTGATGCTTGTAGGGAACTGTGTGGGATGATGTGCGGTGCCATCTGGTGAACACACAGGGCAAACCGATGGAGTCTTCTAACTCAAGTATCCCAAACAACATAAAGCTAAACCACATGTTTCAAAGTCCTGATCTGGTTGCTGAGTGAAGTATGCGGTTCCTATAGCCCTGAGGTGGAATACATTGTTTATGGGGGGGTTGTGCTGAGTCAAAATCACCATCATGGATCTCTGTGATAAAAGGCCTGGAGTATAAACAGCCAGTGGAATAGGAAGAAATCATTACTGCATCTAATTTTTTATTTTTTCGCAGAAGTATGTTGAAAGTAAATATCCCGCCACAGATTTGTAATGCTTTTGTGTTTCTGTCACACTTTAATGTTTCAGATCAACGCAATCACCGTGTTTTAGAGCTCTACCAGGCTTGATCGCTTCAAGCTCTATTAAAGTTATAAGAAATTGCTTAAATAAAACTTGTCTGACAACATGAAGTAGGCTGAGAAAAGGGTTCTCAAAATTTTCTATGCTATGGTCCCACAAATAGCTCTAGCTTTTGGTCAGGGAACAAACCAAGCACTTACAAAAAAAAAAAATAAAAAATTGTTGGCAATAAATA